TAATATAATAAGTATAATATATATAATAAAATAAATAATATAATAAGGGAGAATGAATTCCCCAAACAATTATTATAACAAACATAGAAAGACTAAGAAAAATTCGTTCGATCCAGCTGGATTCGAACCAGCATTCTCAGGCAATTCGTGCCAGATGCTCTGCCAATTAAGAACGAACTAGCAGACCTTTCCATTTTTTCTATGTGGCAATTCTTTGTTTTTGGTTTTTAACGACTTTTTAGCCGTAGCGCCATACTTACTTACTTCGCTGGCTCAACGACCCGAAGTGGATCTTCGCCTTCGAGACAAAAAATACGCCATTTTTGTCAATCTTGTGCCAAGTCCGACGAAATTTAACATTTCTATTTACTTTCATTAAAAGATAATTATTGATTTTTTTTATTGAATTGATATATAGGAAAAGGGGGAATAGCCCCCCATAGTTACAGATATTATTTTTATTACAATAAATACAGAACATTTTTGGACTATACGGAGACGTACACACAGGTCAGTTGTTGGCGCTGTACTATTTCAGCTTTCTAACTTGTGATTTCAGTGCAAACGAGAGTTGATATTTAATAGGCCCATTTGTTTGATGAGTTGCCAGGAATAGATGGCCCTTATTTCGTCTCTGTTTCTGATTATATAGTCGATGAAGAACACACTCGAATCACACTTCAGAAACCGAGACAAAAAACTTCACTTACGTCATAAATACACCTGTAACACAATTTTTTCTCCTGTTCGCAGTATTACAACAAGCCAAAAACAATGAAGACGAGTTCAATAACGCATTGAAGATCGCGAAAGTGGAAAGTCAGATGAAGGAAAATCAGGATGATTATAAACAGGATGACGATTACGCCGTTTATAGAACCAAACGGTCTTTAGGTATAGTATAAATAAGGCAATGCACTTACGGATGATTAAAAGTCTATACTACTTTGTGACGATGTGACCTCCTTACATCGTCATTCCACTTTTTTGTCACTTTTTCTCTGGTTCCTGGCCACTTGTTTGCAAATTTTGAATCGTTCTTTAAATCCTTTGCCCCGCCATTCTCTTTTTGTCTCGTACCGTCGTCACTCCTCCCTCGATCTCGGTAGAGAGTATTTCGGCTGTAATTTTCAATTGCTTCTAATTTTGATTCTTTTACTAATTCTCAACCTAAATCATGCGCCAATTTTAATGTTGATACCAATCTGTAATTCTATATAACTCGGCCCTTTTGGGGTATCTTGTTTATATTCAACTATAAGCATATCCGTATGTAATTAAATTAGGGAGTCTTTTATAGTATTATACCTGTGTTTTTATATATCTTTTCTTGTTACAGCGTTATATTCTTTCTTTTCTTTTCCTTCAAACTATCATATAAATCTTTATGGCCCGAAGTATCCTATTTTATGTGATCTTGGTCACGGCACATTAGTGTCTTACAACCTTTTCAACCTCAAATGGCTTTGGTTGATTTCGCATAACAGCGAGAGTGTTGAATCAATCAATTTGGATAAAAATATATGGTAAAATTGAAGATATACACTGATTACTACACGGTGTGAAAACACGATTCCTAGAAATTTTCATGATAGAAAAAAAACACAAACTTACCTCGAAATTTTTCAAGAAAACCGCTCTATAGGTACATTACATGTACCAATGATTTTTTTATATCAACTGAACTAAATAGAACACGTAAATAGTATACGACATACATTTTTGAAATGGCTTTAATATCGTTGGTAAAAAAATTAATTCTGTAATAAAGCCCAAAATGAACCGTATTAGTACGGGAAAAATTTGAATTCTAGCTGCGGTAGTACCGACTCTCAATCGAGATGTTTTTCTTCCTGTCATAGGTCTGTTACAATCGACACAACGCTTTTTAAATTTGTTTTATTGATTTTAAGCGTTGTGTTTTCGAAGTATGTCTGTCCCCTGGCAGACACACAGTGCAGATGAATAACGAGTACAGAGTAATTCATGTTTATTTTTGCAGACTCATCAACATTTCAATTCCACTTAAAGAATCCAAAGATGAAACAGATACTAACAAACAGACTGAATACGTTACTAGAAGAGCTCGACATAGAAGAAACGACAAAAAGAGTATTTAAAAAAATAGCAGAAGATAAAGTAGACAATGAAAATCACATTGAAATAAATCAAGACTCGAAAGGTACATATAAAAAGGACGAAGACATACTGCATATGACATTGCACAATATTTTATTGAAAGGTAATTTTTGACGTAAATTTATACTATTTGTAATTACATGTAGGTAGTTAGTTATGTGTGGCGGTGGGTGGGTCACGTTGCTCGAAAGAATGGAGCCTGGTGTAAGGCGGTCCTCGAATGGCGACCTGGTGGAGAAAAAGCCCCAGAGGGAGACCGCAGATGCGTTAGAAGGACGATATAAAGAAAATAGCGGAGTTAAATTGGATCCAGATAGCACAGAACCGAAGGAAGTGGCAGAAACAGAAGGAGGCTCTTCTCAGCAGTAGAGCTCCTTGTGAAAGAGTTCGTCAAGGGAAGTACTGCCACCTGTTTCTGCTGCCAAGCAGTAATGTGCGCAGACACGTGGGACTTGTCAACTTATATCTCAGGGTGACGGGCACAGTGGCAGTGCCCCTCCGATCTTGGCATTCAAAAGCTCTGATGGCACTGCAACTGTTATGGACATGGTCGCGCAAAACCAGGCCCACGACATATTTGTCCCGTGACTTGGCATTATATAAAAAAGTGGCCTACACCGATGTCGTTGAGAACGGCTAGAACACAAAAACCGACAGTGTCACAAAAACCAATGTTGGTGTTACCATACACTGCCACTGTTCTTCTTGAAAATCACTTGAATTAGTCACATTGACTAAACTCTGCTACTCAGGTGAGGCAGGTCAAAAGAGAGGCAGGTGCGGTCCCTGCATAAGGTTCAATTTATACTGCCGCACAACGGCATGGAACAGAAGCATCAATTCCGCTTCGTTGCGCGAGAAGGCGCGCGCGGTTGGGCCTTGAGGCTGCGTTATTTCGTTGTCGTTTGACGTCACACTGCGCCTACTTTCGCGCACCACTTCCAGCAGATTCGCCTGGCGTCGCCCAGACTTATGTGGAAACTCCCGCGAATGCGCGAGCATTCTCGAGTACGCGCGAATTCAATAAGCTGTGTACAATATCGTTACAAAAATTCGCTTCCATTTCGTTCCACCGTTATTTAAATTGAGCCTAAGGCATGTAGTGTGCGCTGGTGTGAATTACGATTTTTAATAGTAAAGATTAGAATTATCTTTAGATCTATTTCGTAGGTGTGTAAAATAATATATTATTTTTATTAAATAGTGTTTCTTTTCCTGTGCCCATAAGGTATTTCAGGACATATGGACATGAATGAAGTGTATGGGAAAATACATACTTTGATCGGCAGTTTTCTTAAAGGACAGTTTAAAAAACCCCTAACGAACGAGACTCCAGGTATGTAAAACATATTAAATTGAAAAAAAACATTAGCACCATAAAATCTATGTGTAAAAAAACAAAAGAAAAACAGAAAATCGCGCATATCCCTTTTTGTTGCAAATTGAGTTACAAGTATAAAGAAACCACAGAACAAACTTCTTGCGATTTTTCAAAGATATTTTTTAAATTCAAATTTTCAAACATCATTTGTAATGAGTAATTAAGTTCTTCATTAAATTATCGGCCAATTCGAAGCAAATATTCTCCCGGCACGGGGATCGAACCCGCGACCTCTGCGTGGTAACCGTTCGGCCACAGAGGCAGTTCTAATCAAGCTCAATGGATAGCCACGGACAACCACTTCTCTCAACTTTTAGCAGAATACCAAACGTACAAAACCCTGCCATTGGCACTCTATCGACATACAACTGAGATTGTTTCAAATTAGCAGGCTTGGGACCGTGTGACACGTAATCAAACCGTTGGGCCTTTCTTATTTCTAATTTATATTAATGATCTTCCATTCTTTGTTAAGGAACATTGCGAAATAGTGTTGTTTGCTGATGACACATCCTTGATTTTTAAAACAGACAGACATGAGATTAACTATGACCATATTATTGATACCCTCTCTAAGGTAGTTTATTGGTTTAATGCTAACAATTTATTGCTTAATGCCAAGAAGACAAAATGTGTTAAATTTGAATTACCTAACGTAAAATCGACTAGTCCAAGCATAGAAATAAACGGAGAAAAGTTAGACCTTGTTAATAAAGCAGTCTTCTTGGGAATGACCTTAGATAGTAAACTTCAATGGTTTCCACATATATCTTCCCTGGCCAGCAGATTAAGCTCCGCTGCATACGCAGTCCGTAAATCAATCAGAATACGTGAGCTTACCGATGTTAGTACTGCTAGACTAGTTTACTTTAGTTACTTCCATAGTATAATGTCCTACGGGATTCTCATGTGGGGTAAAACGGCAGATATTCAAACCATATTTGTATTGCAAAAACGAGCGATTCGTTCTGTGTACCGTCTAGGCTCTCGGGTTTCTCTCAGAGAAAAGTTTAAGGAGACTGGTATCATGATTGTGGCATCACAGTACATTTACTCAAATATTTTATATGCCCGTAAAAATATACATATTTTCAATAAGAAAGAAGATATCCATAATATTAATCTTAGAGCTAAGTCCAAACTCATGGTACCACGATTTCGTTTAACCACGTTTCGTTTTTACAATACGATTCCGGAGCATATATTAAGTTTATCATTTCCTAAGTTTAAAAACTACATTAAAAATATTTTGATCGAAATTGAAGACTACGTGTTAGATAAAGATGTATGGAAAGACGACACGGCTCCAGAATCCACACAAATTTGATTCAAAGTGTATTCCATAGCATTTAAGTTTATTTGAAAAGAGCAATCCCTAGAGTTTCTTGCTCGTTCTTCACAGGGAGGTGAACGAGCAGTAGCTTAAATGTGACATTTTTAAGTGTAAATTTATTTTATCTATGGAATAAATAATCTTTGACTTTGTTACGATATCGTAGCGATTTAGTCGTTGAGCGGCTTTTTCGTATTCACGTGTGACAGTGAAAGTCAAAGAGTCTAATTTTAAAGTCGTTCGACCCAAATGTCGTTAAAGCGTATTCTGGTATATGAATCCAACTTAAATCGACTCTAAACGACAAGTCATACGTATTCTGCTAAACTTTTGACAGTTTTTTCAATAGACTTTCGACGACTAAATGTCAAATTTCACAATCCAAGATGTCGTTCATTAGTCCTCACGTTTCGAATCTACTCATATCAACGTTCGTTCAAGTGATACGTGATTACCCATTTTGGATAGGACTTCGATCGAACGACTACGTAACTTCAACGATATTTTGATAGCTGGAACTTACGTGAATCGCACTACTGGTTCGTTACTTAGCTCAGTTAGGGTGAGCGTCAGGCATGGTATGCTGAAGACACTGGTTTGGATCCAACCGGATCGGATTCTTCTTAGTATTCGATCTTTGTACTAATAAAATAATTAAATTGAGGCCACGCAGAGGTCCCGGGTTCGATTCCCGTCACATGACGTCACACCCGTACGATTACTCGGACTTCTCGACCGGCAAAGGCTACGAACGTTATTCAGAACACAGTTATCGAATGAAAATTACCGAGCGTCCTATTGTTCACAAAGCAAGAATGTAATATGGAATTTTTTTTATTATTTTAAATAAAATCTGGATTTTGTTCAATTTTATTAATTTATTGTAAATGCGAGACTAATGCATTCCTACATTTTAGGCCTTTAAAGTCTTAAAAATGTATATAAAAGGAAGAATAATAAAACTAATCGGGGTTCTGGAGAAATATTTGTATGGTAGCATATATTTATTTATCTCATGAGTTTGGATGTAATTTGTGGTTGTCTATGCGTGTGTCTATGACAGCCGCAATACAGGGTTAAAATGTTTAAAATAACTTGTGAAGGCAATGACTATGTTAATATTATATTGTTAAATTTTCCAGAAAAGAAAGCTATTGCCAGGGAACAGAAACACTCCGTAATACCTCCAAGACTAACTGAAGTTGAGGCAAAATTTTTCGAAGAACTTGTGAAATGTAAGGAGCTACAAAACCAAATTCAAAAACAAAGCCTTGTAAAGACTACTACAGGTACCAGTGTTATAAAAGATACGACAGTTTTAAGGAATGCTGGTTTAAATGTGAAAAATAAAGAATCAGAAACAATTAAGATACAGAAAAGTAAAGGTAAGCGTACACCATACCACCAAAAATATGTTATGAAAATCGCGGATTGGTATTTTCAATTATCGAGTATTATTAACGTGACCATTATATTTTCCTCAGAGTGGGACTAAATTTATTATTATTTCAAAAATTAAATACATGGTTATGACAGTTACGAAATGTTTAATCATCAAAAACAATAAAAAGAAGTAATTTTCTGATAAGCTAGCTTTATTTAGAGGGATTAGCAAATTTCTTAATATCAAATTACAAGGATAAATCTGTCAAAGATTTCTCATAGATGGCGCTACGACTAAAAAGTCGTTGAAAGACCAAGTACAAAGACACGACGCAAGCACATAGAAGAATTCGTGAGGTCCGTTGGTTCGTTCCGTGGCTTAGTTGGTATAGCGTCTGGCACGGTATGCAAGAAGACGTCGGTTCGAATTAGACCGGATCGAAGGAATTTTTTCTGAGTGTTTTTTCTGATTGTTCGATCTTTGTATTAATAATTATAACAAACTAGTGGAGTAATTTCACAAAAAAAAGAATTGAATATCAATTCAATAAAAATTTAATAAATTTCTTTAATTCATGAGGTTTAGAGTTTAAATCTCTTTGCAGCCGCCGTCAACCGCACATCACCGCCAAAAACAATGCACGCGCAGTACGTACGCACAACTAAAAGAACCGGGCGACAAATCTTACTCGACGCTTCGCTTTCGCGTCATCATATTAAATTTATTTCACGTGTATCCTGTTTTGTCATGCGGAACACTTTTAGGGACAGCGAGACAAGCTTAAAAGAGGAACTGTCCCGTCCAAAGCGTTTGGTCTCGTTAAGTATCAATGAAGACGGCACCGCGAGATAATGCCAAAGTGTGCGTCCGTGCACGGAGCGCGACGGGCGCGCACACATCGTTACTCCAATGAACACTATACCAAGTTAATTTTTGGACCTGGGGCCTTACCAATTAACTTTTATTACGGTTCAGTATAGGTTCGTACCGATAAAAAATGGGATGCTGATATACACTTCATGTAGCGCTGTCTCACTACCATTCATTTTAGATCCTAAACTGAATCGTAATAAGAGTTCATGGTAAGGCCGCTGGCCTGTTTTTATTTTGTTTTTTGTTTTTTATTTATATTTTTCACAAAAAACGACTTTGGTTTTTTTCCAATTTTGTTTTTTGTTTCTTTATTTTTTTTTGTCACAAAATTTCGGGAACATAATATTAGTAAATAAATATAGCTCTTTACAAAAATAACAGAAAATGACCAAAAACCAAGTTGGCGTAGTGTCCATAGGAGGTATCGACATGCGTATTAAAAAAGGTCTTATAGTCTATTATACATAGTATATCATTTATTTAATTTGTTTTAGAAAGCCCAATGCTGATCAAGACCGTAATAGATATAACCACTGCCGATACAGAGAAAGGAAACGACATATCGTACGTATATTGAAAATTTATTTAGTGAGTATGCAGCAATGATGCGTTGAATAAAATTGTATTTAAATAGTACATTGTGTATTAAAGGTGGTAAATAAGGAATTACCACATAACAATAAATACAGTGCGGAAGTGGTTAGTTAGCGTACGATGCGTGCCAACTAATAGGTCTTGAATCGAAATCGAAATACCTATCTGAGCTCAGTCCGCCATTGTCGCTTTATATGGTATGTTTGTGTCATTCTTTCGTGCAAATTTTCTAAAATCCTAGAAAAATGCCTTATTGTGCTGTTTTGGAGGGGGGGGATCTTTATATATTAGGGGACACTCCCTCCAGACTGGAGGCCCCACCCCACTAAAACCCCCCCGGATTTACCTCCCACCTGACTCTCGGGGATCAGGCGAGCAGCGAAGTGTCTTCGCCTTCTCCCCGTACGTCTGCTCCGAAGCGGGTGCGCGTCCGCCGCGTCCTCGAGCTCCCGCTCCGCAGCTTCTTTTTGCAACATAACCTCTCCGCAAAAGGAGGTCACCGCCTCCCAGGACTCCTCGCTACCGAGCATGGCGATAACCACGCCAGGCAGCGAGACGTCGCTTATTGTTTGGAGACTAAATTAATGGGTAGCCCCAATTCGTCGTCGTTCAGCAATGAACCGCTAGATGGCAGCACATTGATAGAAATTTCAATATTGAACTTTCAACGGTATGCCAACAGGGTAAAGTTTAAATTATATTAATAAATTTGAGACTACGACCAATCAATATTAAGATTTTGTAGTATTTCACATTAAGAATGTGTGAGTTTTGGCGACATCGGTTCTGATAGTAATCGAGGCATGAGGCACTTCCTTTGTTTTTTTCTTCCGTGGGAATTACGAACGAAACCCTATGTCGGAGTCGAGGTTCGTAATTCCCGTACCGGTTATGAAACATATACATTGTTTTTCATACCATTTGCAAGTAAATAGTATAATTGCATGCAGTCTAATTTGACTATAATACCCCAAATAGAACCATCAGGCCTTTTTTCTTCTCACTACAGCCATGGTCGTGTAATGAGATTTATTTGTTTCAGTTTAGTGTCCATACTTTTACACGTATTATAAGATTTGTATCTTGTAACTGTGCTAAAATAAATAAAATAAAAAAATTAAAATATAAAGCTTTTTCTGATCGGTTCAAGCACATTCACACTAATAAGTGTGATGATTCCCTAATAAGTGCCAGAACCGAATTTGTTTGCGTTTGCTAATTGATTCGACCTCCTCTTGTAAGTTTAGGTTAGGTTAGAACGACAATCATGCTTAACTGTCCCATCCCACTGGATCGTCACGACAATTTATCGTTTCACGGCAGCCGCCTTGTCGTTTGCAGATACCGGACAACGATAATAGTAGAATAATAATAAATAATAAAACTTGACGACAATAGTAGCGGCGATTATCTGTCGTCACATTTTTGTCGCGACGTTTTATTTGTCATTACCTTCGCACTTACCATTGTCTTAATAATCTGTCGTCGTAACGTCAAAAAGTCGTAAACGACAGTTAATCGTGTTGTACTATATGTGAAAACTTCATTTAAATATACAAACCATGACACTTTAAACTACACGACTATCTGTCGTCACGACATAATGGGAACGCGTACTAACTTGTCAGAGTATATATCTGAAATTTTATATTTAGTATAATATAAGTATTTTTTTAATTTTCACAGATCCTCCAACGAAAGCAGTGTAAAGGGAGTAATAAAACTATTCTACAATGGCAAATCAGTAAGAATATCACAAACGGACGAAGAAACCACAACCGTCGCTACTACAACGTCTGCTGAAATCACGACAGTAGAACCAGACATTGTACAAGAAAACGGAAGTATATTACTAACAGAAGCTTTAATAGGCAAAGCACTAAAAGAATATGTAAAGAAACATAAAATAATACACAGGACAACCAAAAAACGACCACAATCTTCCGAAACACAAACCAAACGGTTAAAGAGAAACATAAAGTTGAAAATTAACAATAAATTGAACGGACACGAAGAAGTAACTCGAAGTCCTAAACCTAATACTGAAAAGAAAGGCGACAAACCTAAAAAAGAGGACGATGAATTATTTGTTGAAATAGAAACTCACTTTGATAGTAAAGGCATAAAAGGTGAGAAGAAAAAGAAATTAATTCAAAATATTGTCGAAAAAATCCAACGAGCTATACATTCTGATCTGGATGGTATAGAAAGTAAAAAACATGCACCTGCGGTATCAGGGAAATCTGGGCATGTTTTAAAAATAAAAAAACGATTCCAGAATCCTTTAACAATAGAAGAAAACAAACTTATGAACAAGCTTATTGAGCCTTTAGATAACATTATTAACCGTCAAATGGAACCTATTAGTAAATCTGTAAGTTTGAGTGAAAGCATGCCCAAAATTTACTATAAATTGGGAGCATCTTGGAATAAAAATAGAAATGGACCTAGTTTTCTATCTAGCACCAAATCTATAAACTCAGGCGAAGAGGGTGGGACGCAGTTAGATTATAACAAAGTAATGAGAAATAACGGAATTCCACAAAGGCTGCAACAACCATTAAATAATGAAGTAGTTGATGAGAACGGCAATGCTTATTTTGACGTTGGCGATCTAAAATTTGTTATCAAAGAAGTTGATGGTACTGGATTTTCTATAGGTTTTAATCAATATGTTGCTGAAGCACCCGATCCTAAAAATATGAATGTTTTCACTGGTTTACAACAAATATTAAAGACTTACGTAGATTCCGGACGCTATGAAATTACTACTGAAGTTAATGCAAAAGGTATTCCGACATATAAAAGAATATACCACAGCATTCACGACAAAAGCCATGAAATTGTGAAACGGAATGTAGAAAGAGAAATAAGGGCTGACTTTGATGATGATGACCACGCTAATGAATATCAAACGATTTTTGACCAGAACTACTTACCATACGACACTTATCAAGAAATTTTTGAAGACAGAAGAAAAAAGGTTACTTTTTCAGTACAAAGAGAAGGAACGATAACAAATAAAACCATAACACCTATAAATAGTTACGAATTAAACAATTTGGGATTACCATTCGAAGTATATCATTCTTACCAAATGCCACTAAAAAGGAATAATACAAGAGAATTAGTTATCGATGATAAAATATTCGAGAAAAAATTGAATCCTTCACAAATTTTCATCTTAGCAAATTTGCTTTCAAGAAAAAAACGATCATTAAGTATGCACAAAAATGTTAAGACATTTACAAAGAAAGTAAGACCTGGAATGAGTACTTACATGAATGAACATCCAATCAATACAAAAGTGTTTTATAAAAACAGGAAACGAAATAAACGACAAATAGATAAAATACGTATAATAGCCTCCGACGGAATGCCTAACTTCCAAAAAAATTCAGATGAAAATGTATACGTAGTCACATCAGGTGAAAACGTCTTAGCTGACAGAGCTATTAGAGATGAAATGTCGGAACACGAACCAGTGAGCGATTTCGAAAAACCAACACAGGAAAAATTTGAATACTTCGATCCATATAGTGCTTACAATTCACAAAAAAATCCCTACGCTAATATTTTCGCAAGTAAATCAAGACATAACGTTTTAATGTCCAAATACCCTCATATTTTAATGGAAGAACTAACGAGATCTAAAGAAGACTATAACGACAAGGAATCACAAATTACTTTGAGTAAATATATGACAAATATCGGTGATATAAACTTGGAAAGCACCACGCCTAAGTTTACTACATCTATAGACGCGGCTGTAGCTCCAGTAGTGCAAGACCTTTCAGAAGCCTTAGTACCACATCCTAATTACAAATTGACAGTCAAGATTGTACCCAAGAATGAATCTGACCGTCACCCAGGTTTCAAAGAAATACATACGAGTATAAATAAGAGTGTTAATAAGAATGGAGTAGTGTTCTCATCGCAAATGAATATATCAGAAATATCGAAAGTCGAAAATTATGAAAAGGAAATGGGATTGCTACAATTAGGTAATTTTTCAAAAACAAGCTCACCATCGCCTTTGGTAAAGCAGTTGAAAGAACAACAAGAAAAAATGAAAAAGATCTTAAAACAACACACTTTAAAAATCGACGAGCAACTTGATCACTTAAAAAAAGAAAAACAAAATATAGAAAGTATAATTGTACCTGGAAAACCAGGCTTAAGAGACATTGATGATATAGACGTTTATATACCTTTAAATCCACCACAAGTGCTACATTTAAACAAAGTTGAAGCAAGGCAACTTATATCCTCCGCAATAATGAAATTACACGAAATACCTCAACTAAATGACGTTGTCAACAATACATGCACTGAAGCGAAGAACGTGGAAGGAATTGAAACCACTATTACCAAAAGGAAAAACACTCCTACAACTACTACTACTACACCCCAACCGCCGATCTCAACAACTACTCACTCAAGTATGGAAATGAGAACTACAACTCATTATATCCCACATATGCCTAGTTACCACGTACCTAGAGTAGATCCTGACAGGTTAAGGATACTAAGAACAATACAGAGAAACGAGAATTTAACACATGCAATTTTGTCAAAGATTGACAAAAATACTGATCTTTTGCAGACATTTTTACAAAAGTTGACGGAAAAGATAGACCCGGACATAAAACGTGAGCATAAACATGAAGAGCCCAAAACTGACAAGACTATTGAATTTCCAACACAAGAAAGTCCTGTTATGAATATCATACCACATCCCAAAATGCATAATATGCATTATCCATATCCAAAAGAATGGGGCCGTCAATATGTCGACCCCAATTTCTATAGAAACATGCAAATGCACTTACAAAATGGTCTACCAAACAGTATGCAAAATATACCAAATGGTTTACACAACATACCAAACGGTTTACACAATCTACCTAATCTCCAAAATTCTATGTCAAATGGTCTACAAAACATACCAAATGCACAAATGCATAATATACCTATAATGTCGATGACAAATTTACAAAATTTGAATGCAGAAGAAGGCAAAAATGATACAGATACATCTATACCATTCGTGTATGCTTATCCAAATGCATACCCATTGGCAAAACCCAACAATCCCCCAATGGCAAGCGTAGTATACCACGGACATATACATCCAAATGCAATGAAAAATTTGGTAAAAGATGGACATCCAAAAGAAATACCACATGTCAAGCATTTAACCAATAAACAAACAGAATCAGCGAATCAAACTAGATTTTTCTTTGATGATATGGATCCAGTTGCAGTAGGAATGAACTTGGGAGCGATGAATAGAAATACTACGACAACATGAAATGATACTGTTGTGGATGTTATGTTTTACATAGGTATATCATACATAGAAAGGGCGTCGCATTTATCTTTATACAATGTTTCTTTGTAAATGGGACAATGTGGGGAAATCCGAAACCTTATAATATAGAAGGAAACTGTCTTTCGAATCAATAAGTCTTTTTGTGAAAACAATTCAACACCAACTTCAGCTGTCTCGACTTTTTTCCCCGTACAATAGAATCATATAGGAAATGAAACTATTTTTCCGGATTTAAATCGCGTATATTTGTATTATTGTATTGTTGTTTTTTCAAACAATCCTTGGTTTGTTTGAAAAACAAATACGCGATTTAAATCCGGAAAAATAGTCTCATTTCCTATGTGTAACAATCACTAAAACTTAAGAACTGAATCATACTTATAAAATCTGAATAGAATCATACTTATAAAAAACTTAGCCCAAAATTAGCATTAAAAAAAATTTGTCTATTTTATTCATTTTGTATGAAAAATATTTTATAAAATTTGACCAACTTCGGCTGTCCCGATTTTTATCGTCCCATACAATGAAATTAACCCTTCATGAAATTGACTCGATTACCACAAAAAAATATTAATCAATTTTATTCATTTTCATGAACAAATTACGCTTCACCAAAAAATTTACTGCGCCAAAATTGTTTTCACAAAAAAAACAATGATTCCTAAGACAGTTTCCTTTTATCTTCTATGATTTCGGATTTTCCCATACTGTCCCGTTAAAAAAAAACATCGACTATCGTAAAATCCAACACTAGTGCTTTGTCCTTTACATTTAACAGAACCTAAATCAACCAACTAACTAACCAAGACATATTTAATTTTTGTACGTTTTTATTACAAGTAAATGTTGAAATATACTTCCATTGTCTTATTTTAATAATCTTGTTGTAACAACCTTTGCATTCTCTAGAATTGCTCGAGGAAGACGAAAGACTAAGATAGTACCATCCAAATTACCGCCTCTAAAAAAGTATTGGGATACTTGTAATCGACATCATGGACGAGTTCCAGTTCCGGGGTTAATTGGTGAACAACAGGCTTCTAAAATGCCCGGAATCCTCAGAACGAAGTGATATTTTACACCGGGGGTCGATTCAGAACCTTACGATAACTCAATTGTCAACCGATTTCTTTTCATTTTTATTCACAACACCCGAATCGAACGTCAAACTGTCGTATTAGAAACCGAACCGAAATGACGTCATATCCATACGATTACTCGAACTTCTCGACCAGCGAAGGCTATAAACGTTGTTCAGAACACAAAGAATGAATTTTGCCGAACGTCCCAATGACTTACAAATAAATGGACGACGGGTCTAATACAAAAACCACGAAAAAATGTCCCAAGTCAACCTATTCGAAATTTAAATTGTAATGTCATCGCAGTATCGCGCTGTTAGTAGAACAAATGAAGACTAAAGCGGAGTGTCGCGCTCTGTATACGATTTTAGCGCCTTACAAGTGCGGACACTTTTTAGCGCGGACCCGACGTCCATATAATTGTAAGTCAATGGAACGTCCTATTGTTTACAAAGCAAGAATGTAATATATATAGATAGATAGATTACTCGTTTATCTGCTGAATGAACACATTACATTACAAACAAGCTTATGACTTAGGTACAATAGTAATCATAAAGAAAAAGGCTAGTCTAGGTTTGAGGGTATGGTCTAGAGTATAATAAAGTATCAGGTGTAGAGTTGAATGTACTGTGTCAGCAAAAAGGGCCCGACTCAGCATTATGCCGCAGTTCAGTCGAACTACGACCCAATGTGAGCCGGTAAAAAAGAAGTAACTCAGAATAGAGAATCGACACGGAGTTAGAATGTAAGGTATGTAGGTATAATATTAATTGGAAGGTGAATAAGTTATCATATAAGCCATAAAACGTGGACAAGGTAACTGGAAAGAAAATAAAAAAAGATGAAAGATCTAAATGTGTAGTTGTATAGTAATTGTAAATGAGTGGGTGTTTTGCTTAAAGGTAACACGCCTTTGTTTGTATGTAGGTACGTAAAAAATAAGTGGAATATATGTGTGGTTTATGTTTAACTATGGCACAAAGTATTTATGGCAGGGAAAATATTTTGTAGGCAGGTAGTGTAAAAGAGATTAAGGGTAATTTGTGAACTTTGATATTTGTATCAGACACGCGTCAAAATATTCTGTGGAAAGTTTTTTAAAGTGCACATTTAAAAGAGTGAATTGATGTAAGATTTCTAATGGGCGGTGGTATGTCATTCCATATTTTGGACGCGTTGTATTTGAAACAGCCACAGAAAGCAGCCGTTTTATGTGTGGGAATAATGAACGGTGGGATATGGAAATCTCTTATTATTTTAAGTCTAGATTTTGTTCAATTTTATTAATTGATTTTAATGCAAGACTAATGCATTCCGATATTTTAGGCTAGCCTTAAAAATGTATATAAAAGGATTTTTATTTTTCTTATAATCTATTTCACCGACTAACTCCGTAAACGCTGTTGGATAAAGATATCGTATCCGAATCCTAATCAAACGTTTAACTCGGAAGGTTCTGAATATCTCGGAAAGCGACCTTCCATTCGAGAACGACACCCAATCGAACGATTCGGTTAAAATATCGAAGAGTTCTGAATCGGGATCCTAGTCACCGACTTTTGTAAGACAGGTAAGACCCCACGTAGAGTATTGCTCGAATCTCAGGGCCGGAGCTCCAAAATCAACTGCCTCAGTAGCCCAACGGTCCCAGGTTCGATTCTCGGGCCGGGAGAAATATTTGTATGGCCTACATTAACTTCTCTCGTGAGTTTGGGTGTAATTTATGGTTATCTATGTGTGTGTCCATGGCACTTGCGACACAGGGTTTCCCTAGTGCGGGACTATGGTGAGTGTGTGCGTTATTATTAAAAACAAACCAGCTTGATCACTTGACTGCACCTTAACTTAACATCCAACGTCTTCTTCTGTGTCTTTCTTCGTAATTTAACTTTTAGTGGCATTGCAAATAATCAGGTGCACGACTTGTTCGCCCCGTCACCATGTGAGATAATGGCGAAGCCTTTAGCTATTGTTTATAAAAACAAACGCTATCGAGTAACACAAAAATGTATACATGAATCTATAGAAAGATACAGTATAAACTTTTATGCATGGAGTATCTCAGATGGAGCGAGAAACTATAATGGCCGACATAGCTTACAAAATCAGTAAGAAATAATAATAATAAGACATTTATTCATAAGCACATTTACAATAAAATGGTTAACAGTAAAGAGTTTCGGAAATGTGGACTCGAGTACCAATGAAAAGGATGGAACCTCAGCACTACTGCTGCTTTTCAGGTTCCACCTTCATACATGGACATCCGCTGCTGACAATTGTCAATCACCACAGGAATTACATTTGAAATTTATAAGATATGTTTAAAATTAATTTATTATTTCGATGAGCACACAAGTATATATATATATTACATGTAAAAGAACATTAAATACCGGACACAAACGGTACTGGAACAGGTCTCAACTTCTTAAGTAAGCTTAGTGGCACGCACGACTTGCTCTTCCTGTCACTTGATATGTAAAAAAAAACCAAACCTCAAAACAAGCCGTTTACTGTTTGAAGAAAAATTTACTTATAAGAAACTAGCGTTAGTTAATTATACTGTAACTGTCGATATATTTACGTAATCATTTAAAATATAATTTAAGATGTTAATTAATCCTAGCAATTTAAATGAGTAGTTCAGTTGTTCACATCTTACACGTGCGCCATATTGTATGATCGAGTAAGTATAACTCAACTTATAAATATCCTGTAGGCTTTCTTTGAGAAAGACAAAAAAAGCGTTTCACGGTCGAGAAGTGAACAACTCTAGTTCTCCTTCATATTGTGAAAATCGGTGTGAGTGAGAAACTATTATACTCGGTGAGTGCCTGCAGATATTATATACCTTAATATACTTCTTAGACATTACGCTTCTGCTGTGTATGTAATTGGATGTTTTGCCAAATTATTTATAAAATATAGGAATTACATAATAACCTTGTTCGCCATTATACTCGATATGATGCCAATAGACATTTATATTTACTGAATTATATCTAACATGCCTTATTTAATGTACTGCCCAAGAAGTTACTCAACTAATAAATTATCTTTATACCTAATGTTGAACAGTTTCATTTACTAGATAATTAATTATATTGTTTATAGTCATCTGTAATATGTCTCGATTAAATGTAATTAATTAAATGCCTCATCTGGGACTAGAGGTTTCCTGTACCTTGACTACCAGAGCTACGAGAATTCACTCCTGAGGATTACCCAAAACCTCGATTCAGAACTCTTCGATAGTTTAACCGAATCTATCGATTGGATATTGTTCTCGAATCGAAGGGCGCTTTCCGAGCCATCAGAACATTCCGAGTTAAACGTTAGACTCGGATTCGGATACGATATCTTTACCCAACAGCGTTTACGGAGTTAGTCGGTGAAATAGATTATAAGAAAAATAAAAATGCTTTTATATACATTTTTAAGACTTTAAATGCCTAAAATATAGAAATGCATTAGTATATGTTGTTGGGGTTACCGCGACACTGTAGCGCTTCAATGTTGTTGGGGTTACCGCGACACTGTAGCGCTTCAATGTTGTTGGGGTTACCGCGACACTGTAGCGCTTCAGGCATGTTCGCTGAGTCACGCACAGATGGCTTTCATGCCATTCTGAGGCGGGTTGCCTCGCTTTGGCAACGTGTGCGCGGGTGCCCCAACAGCATTCTAAAAACTGTGGTTAATAAAATTGATTGCCCCATCCAGGCCCACTGGATGAAACTTCATGTGGCGATTTAGTTTAAGTCTACATGAGTATGTTAAATTAACTTCAATTTTATAATTTTCAATTTTATAATTTTCAATTTTGTAATTTTCAATTTTGTAAGTTTCAATTTTATAATTTTCAATTTTTTTTAATTTTCCATTTTGTAATTTTCAATTTTATAATTTTATATTTAATGTTGTATTCGTGGTTTATTTTTTGGATTTGAATTGTATAATTATTTTGTTTTTCATTTTTTATTTGTTTCACATTATCTTATTTTATTGTAATTTTAGCATTTGAATAGCATAATACTAACCTTATTCCTAAGTTCTTTACTAACAAACTATGGATAACTGTCCGAAATAAAGTATTATTATTATTATTGTTATTAGTCTTGCATTAAAACAAATTAATAAAATTGAACAAAATCCAGACTTTATTCAAAAGAATAAAAGATTTCCATATTACATTTTTGCTTTATAAACAATAGGACGTTCAGTAACTTTAATTCGATAACCGTGTTTCGATAACGTTTGCCGGTCAAGAAGTTCGAATAATCGTACGGGTGTGACGTCATTACGGTTCGCTTTCGAATACGACAGTTTGACGTTCGATTCGGGTGTCGTGAATGAAAATGAAAAGAAATCGTACGATATCAAATCGACTTGGTCGACAACAGAGTTATCGTAAGGTTCTTCTTCCGACGGGCTGCCTCACCACGTGACCAAGGCCAGTGCAACCTGGCCGAAATGTCGGGAAACTAGGCATCTGTGAAAATACCTATTCGTATGTAAACGCGTTTAATCCCGTTTGCAAATATTAGTACAATGCAACGCGAAACTTTAAAAGTATATATATTTTTCATTTACACCAAAGTTGATTAACTTACAGAATTATGGACAAAGAACCGCGCCCTGGCGGACACCCGTTGTTTATAGTAAAGTGTATATGTATAAATTAAATTTTTATTGAATTGATATTCAATTATTTTTTATGAAATTACTCCACTAGTTTGTTATAATTATTAATACAAAGATCGAACACTCAGAAAAAACACAAAAATTCCTTCGATCCGATCGAAGATAAATCTGTCAAAAATTTCTAATAGATGGCGCTACGACTAAAAAGTCGTTGAAAGACCAAGTACAAAGACACGACGCAAGCACATAGAAAAATTCGTGAGGTCCGTTGGTTCGTTCCGTGGCTTAGTTGGTATAGCGTCTGGCATGGTATGCAAGAAGACGTCGTTTCGAATCCGACCGGATCGAAGGAATTTTTTCTGAGTGTTTTCTCTGAGTGTTCGATCTTTGTATATGTATATTTTTTTTAAAAATTAAGAAAAATTTAGAAATGCTATGCAATTAGAAATAACCACGAAATGACGTACAAGTTAATGTCTAAACCCATTACTGAATTAATCATCATAATTGATTTAAAAGATAAAATTAATATTACTATCTTTTCCTCTTTCCTTACTAAATATTTATGTCTATCTGTTTGTCTGTTACAAAAATAATTACCCCGTAACGTCGTCAGCAATAACAGCTCTACTGCGATAGCAAACCCGCATGAGAAGCGTGCGCGCAACACCTACTTCCAGCAACATATTTACAGATTTAGTGCCATTCAGGGCTTTAAGTCGCAAAGATCTGAGGGGCACTGCCACTGCGCCCGGCACCCTTACCCTTCAAAACCGGAACACAGTAATGCTGACATTACTGCTTGGCGGCAGAAATAGGTAAGGTGGCAGTACTTTCCTGGACGAACTCCTTCACAAGGAGGTCTACTGCTACTAAAATATCAATCACTATATCAATGCATATAAAATTAGGCGACCTATAAAATTAATATACTTATACCCTTAGAATAATAACGCATAGAAACCTAGCCCGCACACGCTAAGTGAGGCAAATTGAAGCGCGCCAAAAGGGCCTACACCAGCGGGCGGGCCTCCAGTGCTCAAGGTCAACTTGCACCGCGAACAGATCAAGAATTTTAGCTAAAAATGACGAAATGTGCGGTAAATGAGTGTAAAAATACGTCAGACAAACATAAAATAGATACTAACATCACATTCCACAAGGAAGTAACGCGTTTCAACTTGTATTTTTATATAAATATTCACTAAAACCATTGACTTACAATTATATGGACGTCGGGTCCGCGCTAAAAAGTGTCCGCACTTGTAAGGCGCTAAAATCGTATACCGAGCGCGACACTCCGCTTTAGTCTTCATTTGTTCTACGGACAGCGCGATACTGCGGTGACATAACAATTTAAATTTCGAATAGGTTGACTTGGGACATTTTTTTCGTGGTTTTTGTATTAGACCCGTCGTCCATTTATTTGTAAGTCAATGACTAAAACCGAAAATTAATCTACTACTAAAACTAGCTTACATGAATTTGATTTTTGCCTCACTTGTGACAGCTCGTTTGATATGAAACTATCATTCTATGCGTTATTATTCTAAGCTTATACCATGAATCATTCAAATGTCCAAAATGTAAACAAAGAAATGAATCATGAATGGATCATGAATTTATTGTCAAAGTGTGAATGCAAGTGTGCTAAACCTTCTATTTTTAACCGAATTATAAGAGAACGAAATGAAAACCTCAATTTTCTACAATTTTAAGTATCTATTACAATATACAACAATAAACAAAATCTTCAGCTACTCACAGTAATTTAAAAAAACTCACTACGAAGTCGATAAAATATTCGAATTCGAGAAACGAAATGACAAATGACGTGTCACGACAAAATGGCGGCACAAAAAATGTTTTTGATCCCGATTGTGCTACCAGTGACACTAAAAGTATTTATTATCTTAACCTGAGTAAACATACATATTGCAAATTGTGAATAGTTCTAAGTTTAATCGGATTACAGCTTAAAAAGAGTTCTAATCGTTTACTATCGTCAAAAATCACAGTACGGAGTACTAAAAAAACTGACACCAAAAATCATTCATCACCTAGTTTGCCACCCTTAGAAGTGGAATAGTTTCTTCAAATATAAATGTGACCACTACTGAGCTACCCTCTTTCCAACAGAGAAAAAATAATTAAAATCGGTTCACAAATTTTTATAGAGTTATCGTGTAACATACATATAAAAAAACATACAGACGAATAGAGAACCTCCTCCTTCTTTGAAGTCAATTAGAAATAGGAAACTGCCATTTAAAATGTATTTTTATGCTCGGTTTTTCCATTTGTTTACGTTTTGGACATCTAATTATAATTCATACTTATAGGCATATTTAGGTTTTTTTTTATAGAGTAGGAAGAATAATATGTATGTAGAATTTTATTTACCTCATTTGGTTCCGATCACTGGTTATTCCACGTGTATATAATTTGTTTCATATAATTCCTTAAGAAGACTATAAAGATATTGCGTAGGTGAAACATAAAGGAAAATGGAGATGACACTAGTTAAAAAATTTAGATAAATATAAACGATTTTAAGAATATCAAAGATCTGATAGTCGGATGGTTTGATAAAATAACAATTAAGTCTTTGGTATTTATACAGACGAAGCGTAGTTTGTTACCTAATTCCGTACGAGTTGTAATTCAAGTTTACGAGTGTGTCAAAATGAAAAGGTCACAGGTAAGTGAATAATTAATTTAATTCTATAATACTAGTTACGCATCCTTCGGATTTGAAAAACTTGGCCCGATCCCAATGCCCCGTTTTCACAAAATTATATCCAGAACATACACTGTCACAGATAATATACTTTTTTTTTAAATGGGACGGTATGGGGAACTCCGAAACCATAGAGATACAAGGAAACTGTCTTAAGAACACCTTAAGAACCAATGTCTTTTTTTGTGAAAACAATTTTGGCATAGTCAAATTTTTGGTCAAGCGTGAGTTTTCCTTGTAATGAATAAAATTGATAAAAATTTTGTTCTATGGACTCAGCTTCTTATAAGGATGATTGTATGGGACGAAAAAAATCGGGACACCAGAACTTAGTCAAATTTAGTGAAGTTTGAACCTTAACTTAGTTTCTAGAAAAGAAATACCATTTATACAATTTATTTCGAACTAAGAAATAAAAAAACCGACCTCAAAAGTCACGTCCCCTAGTTTGCCACCCTTAGAGGTGGGATATTGTCTTGAAATTTCAATAGGACCACCACTGAGGTACCCTTTTTCCAACATAATAAAAATAATCTCAAAACTGGTTCACACATTTTTAGTTAAAGTTATCACGTAACATCATACAAAAAATACATACAGTCGACTTAAGAACCCCCTCCCTTTTTGGAGTCGGTTAAAAAGTGGGAACTTTCGATTTGTTACCTTCACAAAGACAGTACTGTTTTCACCAATTATCATAATAATTTGCAAATTAATTTCAATTGAACATTCCTAAGTTGTTTAAACGGTTTTGCATTTCTTTTTTATTCTGGTTCTCAATTCGACTGCACGTTATTTTTTATATGTTGTATATATAAGTTACACGATAACTACATATTTGTGAAGCGATTTCGATGATTCTTTTTTCATTGGAAAGAAGGTACCGCACTAGTGGTACCATTTAAATTTGAAGAAAATATTCCAGAGTGGCAAACTAGGGGAAGAGTTGCTTTTGAAGTCGGTTTTTAGTAGGTAACTACTCTGTATTGAGTTCATTATATTTCATACATTGACTTACAATTAATGGACGTCGGGTCCGTGCTAAAAAGTGTCCGAACTTATAGTGCATTAAAATCGTATACAGAGCGTCATTCACGCTTTAGTCTTCGTTTGTTCGACTGACAGCGAAGCAAGCAAAATTAGACAGTACTGCGATGACATTACAATTTAAATTCAACGTTTTAGCTTTTTCATATTCCTTTACATGTCACTACGTTTAAATAGGTTGACTTGGGACATTTTTTTCGTGGTTTTTGTATTAGACCCGTCGTCCATTTATTTGTAAGTCAATGATTTCATACTTCATATTTAGTGTGAAATTCAAATTTTCGAGATTTATTACTTTATATTTATTATTTTATTGAAGTGTCTTATTTAAATATGTAGTAATGTTAATGTGTCACTACAAACATTGATATCAATAATTAACATAATAATTTTTGTGGCAAAGCCTATGTGCTTTTCCTAGCACCCGTTATCTTTATACCAAACTTCATCAAATTTGCTTCAGAGGTTTTTACTTTCACGTTTATAACACTGGTTCGGATGTTTTATGTTTAAATAGTAATTTGTTTTTTTTTTTCCAGTTCGCGTTAATTCTTCTCTTCTTTGCAATAACATTTGCAAAGGGGTTCACCATTCGGAAAACTGACGAGGTAAGCAAATTGCCACTATGCTGTACCTACTTAATTACCTCTTTGTAACTAACTTCATAGGCAGGTTTACCGATATTGACTTACTAACATTCAATAATACCTCCAATTAACACAACGTCAACTTAATTTCTGGACTTTTTATTTTTGTTTAGGGTTTTGTTTCTTTTTTCCTCAAAATTCGGGGACCATAATATTAGTAAATAAATGTGGCTGTTTACAAAAATAACAGAAAATGATCAAAACGTAAAGTTAACGTAGTGTTCATTGGAGATCCATCTGGAATAACAAAACAAAACTAAAAATATACACAAACAAATAGATGCGCAAGTGAGTGATATCGTTAGTGAGGCGCGTGTCAGGAAGCTGTTGGAGGCGCTCCAACAGCTTCCTGGCCACTGTCGCGGAAAGAGTCGACGGGTGACGGGCGCAGTGAAAGTGCACCTCAGATGTTTGCAATTTAAGGCTCTGAGTGGCGCACGAGTTGTTTGTTCCGTGGGCGCGTGCCCATTATGTCGTAACGTTTTATTTATCGTTTGGCGACTGTCCCATATCACGACTATCTGTCGTGACAATGTCGTGGACGTTTGTTGTATCGTTGAACGACTGTCGTCTCTAGCCTGTTCCCAATAGATTGTGACTACAATTTATCGGCTCACGGCAGCCGCCTTGTCGTTTGCACGACAGAATCGTTTAAAGCTGCGATTATCTGTCGTGTCGTGCTCCTCAGATCTTTATGATTTAAAGGTCCGAATGGTACTGTTATGGTTATGGACAGGCGTGTAGCTTACCCCCTTGATTGTAAAAAAAAAGATATATTATTGGAAAAGACTTATTGGTGTAAGTCACCACTGAAATCTTCCTACACGGAGGCAATCGTTCTACAAACTAATATAATATACTATATCTACAGCAAAACTCTGATGTATATGCTGTTGAAGAAAACGACAAAGTCATTGCTAGATTGATATATCCGAAACCAGAGGAGCCAACCTTACGAGAAGTACTTTTCTATCATGTTTGGGAAAGACCATACTATGGAGAGAATAAGGTAAGATTGTCTATATATTTTCCTGTTTGTCACAGCCGCGGTATAGTTAGCGGACGGCGGTACTAATCAGGTCGTTTATTTTTTAAAGTGTAAAAAAAATACCGACTACCGATTCTTTTCCCGCGTGAAGATTATGAAGTTCAGAGTTAAGTAGGTATAGTTGGCGAGTTATTATTTGCCCCAATTTGTCCTTCCGCTTCATCTTTACAATACAATAGGACATAATCTCAGTACATAGTACTAAAAAAACGACCTCAAAAGTACGTGGAATTACGTCTATTTGCTAAGTTTTATAGAAATATCCCCTAGTTCGCCACTATACAGGACTTCACACTGGAGATAATAATAATCGGTTCTCACTACTCAAAGTATATTGAGAGAAAAACGCCTTGAATTGGAGAAATAGCAAAATCAACCATTAAAATAATTGCTCCTAAATTAAAGTTAGGCGTTATTTATAAAAATGAATCTTCATGCGTGAACAGCCGCCATCAAAGGTGGATGATTTTCTTCAAAATGAAATGGGACCACTATGGAAGTACCCCCTTTCCAACAAAAAAAGAATCATGAAAATCGGTTCACAAATACCGGAGTTATAACGTAACATACATACAAAAAAAAAGAACATACAGTCGAATTGAGAACCTCCTCCTTTTTTGAAGTCGGTTAAAAAGATTGAGCCGTCTCGGTAACGCACGTGCCATCTTTATACTGCAAACAATTAGTCTTAACATTTTTACGCATTGGCACTTAATTCTAAACAAGAAAATCTTTATGCGGAACTAACTTTGTTGAATTAGGAAATGAAACTATTTTTCCGGATTTAAATCGCGTATATTTGTTTTTTCAAAACAAACCGACGCGTTTCGGGCCCTTTATAGGTCCCATGGTCACGGTTTGTTGAATTAGTAGAAAAAGAGCCGGCAGTCGGTATTTTACGAAGTAGATACATGTTTTAAAAAACGGGATGACGAGTAAAGATATTCAAAACCAAAATTCAGAAAAAGCATTTTGCGCACCAATGATTCGTACGATGGACCAAGATCATTAAGTCCATGTACGCTTTTAGTAAAATAAGTGTTAATTGTTTCATTACTCTATTGTAATAGAAAGGATAACCCGTTCCAAGAGATAACATTCATGGCTAGAGATGGTTAATATAATATATACCTCAAATTATAACGTTAAATTAAAAAATAATTATAACAATTATAATTTGAAAGACATAAAGGTGCTAAAATTATTACTTTTTTTCACTTTGGCTTGGAGTACGTTAAGAAAATTAAACCAAATGCCGACATAATTGCGACAAAATAGCGACATAATTTTACAATATTTCAATGCCATACCATCAGTCTATCCGTGCTTTACTTACGCAGCTAACAAACAAAATCCTTCTTCGTCCTGAGTTATCTCCCTTAATATTTCATAGATGGCACTGTATTCTATGTGAAAATTGCTGCTCTTGTCATTGGTTGAAACAATTATAACGTGAAATACTTTCACATATTATTTATAGAATTTAAGAGGGAGCATGCCAAAAAAGTTTTGACGTTGGTTCCGCCCAAATTTGTGAAACAAATATATGCCTGAAGTTCGCGTGACATGCGACAGGAGATGTTGAATTTTGCGCATTAAAAGTATCAAATTCGTTTTAGCGGAATAACTCTAAAACTAAAGGGATTAAAAAAAATCCGTAGTGAGAGTTCTCGATCATGCATAAATATTAATTATTAATTTTTGTCCTAATAACCTGTAGCATTTCGAGGATAAATCGAAAATATGTGAAAATTAGAGGTCATTTCGTGATTTTTATCTATCGAGGAAACTTTATTGTTTTATGTTTCTGATTAATGTCTATGCTTGAATATATCGTGTAGTTACTCATACAATATTTTATTTTTAACTTTAAAGTGGATATACCCCTCTAAAATCAAATCAAAGATTAGGAATTTTTCCTCTGCTCCCTCTTAACGTTTGGTGCGAAACGCGAAATAGCTGATTAATAATAATAATAATAATAATAATAATAATAATAATAATAATAATAATAATAATAATAATAATAATAATAATAATAATGATTGGTTTATTGATGTTATGAGATGAATTTCACGTTTGAGTACGCTGAGTGGTAATGCTATATTTATCACTTAGCAAGTATTATAATCGTAGTTATGTTATGAATTATAATTTTGGTTACGTTTTAATACGATTTTTAGCTAAAGGTGGAACGTTAGCAAAATTTCATCTGGTGAAGCGATTTAAATTAAGATATAATTCACGTTTGTTTAATTAATAAGTCGTTGTGATACTTGGATATAAAAGTACAAGGGTGTGCGTTATTATTAATTATTGTGAGTGTAATTTACTGTAAATAACCAGTGTAAAGTTCTGTGCAAATTGTAAATATTACATTGTTGAAGTATGAAGGGAAGCTCATTGATTTATCGTAACCACCATATTATGTAATAGTTACAAAACAAATGAAGTCTGTCATAACTAACCATAAAAAACTGTGAAGAATTCTATAGATAGATCATATATGCTATACTTAACAAGTTAGCGCACGTCAACTATTTCACGTTTCTTTCCATTCGTTTCATTATCACACGACCGTGAGCTGCTAAAAACTATAATTTTAGCACTTTAAATAGCGCGCTATAAAAATTTAGCATTTAGCGTGCTATGCGAATATAGCAGTTGATCTCATCTCTATTCATGGGTGCAAGTAATATTTCTTCAACTATACCAGTACGTAAAAGTATTTAAACTAGTTCTTAGCACTATACAGACGGCAAGTGCTTTACCGAGACCACTCCCCTTTTGTTATATATAGATAGAGTATAGTAGTAGTAGATAGATAGATAGTACTCGATAGATAAAGCGATAAGACGAAAGGGTGTAAATAATGTTTCGTCAACTATAACTTAATTATAACATCTAACTAAAATGAAATGGTGATTTTGATAGGTCGTTTTAGAATTGCAACAAACACGTTTAAGTAAACTAGTTACACTAAACCTACGGCAAACTATTATATAATTAATAATCACTTGACAACTTGACATAGGGTAAAACTTTGATAGATGCCACACTTTTTGAAGGAGCCTCCTAATTTAAAAATTATTAGTTTACCATGAATAATTCCTATGGATATAACTAGTTTAGTCATTTACATCACATTAATACTTGATTTTATTGATCTAACATTCACTGATTTTGAAGAGATTGACTTTTTGCAAACCTATTTTTTTGAGGATAGATGCCTACCTATATGGATAGACGCCACACGATGAAAATACTAAGAAGGTAGATGCCCTTTAGAATAAAATAGTAAAATTCAAAATAAAATGTTTTATTTATAATCTTTAATATGTTGTATATACATATTACATCTTTAATAATAAATACATACGTATTTAAAGTTACTACCTACTTCACTTCGTATTTTTGTAGCTATCAAAACATTCTATACAAAAATGTTTTTGCTGTTTGAACTTTGAACGATTTGTCTTTTTGGTACTTGTAATTACTTTTAAATTATTATCATTTACATGTCTTTTTCACTAAAATAATGTATTTCTTTATTTTCTTTTCCTAACGTTTTTGTCTTGTCCTTTGCCCCTAAGGGTACCTATACCGCGAAAAATCGAGGCGACTATCCTATTCGATATGGACAGATACCCTTTTATTATATAACTAAGCTATATACAAAAGAGCGATTATTGACACCTAGGTGCACGTTTAATGAACCAGTGCATAGTTATAATAAAAATAAATCGGAATTTATTATAATTAAGAAAGTCATGCGACAGTAAATACTTGCGTCTGAAATTTTGAACCGTTTATCGTGTTCGTCGCGGAGATAAACGCATGCACAAGCCAAACGCGTCTATTCCACACGAAGCCCTGCAGGAACTTTGATGTGTGGTGTCTATACTCCTTAATTAAACCAATTATTCTTTGTTGCGATTGGGGAAGTTAGGTTTTTTGAAAACGAGGCACCTATCCCACTGCGGCATCTATCCCGGTTTTACCCTACGTTAAACAATTATGAAGAATTAATTATAAAGACAAGATGCATAAAACAACTTATACTTTCCAGGATGTTCAAGAAATAATTGCACATTCAGATGTTCCTGAATTAGATGGTACTGAAAGAAGCTTCACAAACGGTCATGGATACCAATACACTGAAGCTTTGCCTGGAAAGGTAATATATTTCTTCCAAGATATACAGTCGTCTGCAACATCACGTGCACCTGTAGCAAAATTTTGAAGTTCCTGCGCGATCTCCGTGATGTATCCGATAAGAATCGCCAACATGGCTTACCTACTGATTTTACTGATCCGCGGTGATTGAGACTTGGTAGCTTTAAGTCCACAAGAGAGTGATTACCAATTAGTAGGGCCTTCAGTGTCGCTGCACTAAAAAATCCGAGTGTTTTGATTGAATCGATCATATTAAGTTAGAAAAGCTACAAAAAGTAGCTATAAGAGGAAACTTGTTTAGATGGTTATCTTCTTATGTCCGAAATAGATGTCCAACAGTAGTTTTAGGTGGTTACTCATGTTCGTCTATGGACATCCCCTCCGGTATGCCCCAATGTTCATTCATTTTCATGATTTTTGTAAATGATATCGCTTCCTGTTTTCTGAACTATAAAATACTTTTATATGCCGACGACATGAAAATTTTACGTAAAATTAAGCATATAAATGACTGTCTTCAGGATGATTTTATTACATTTCAAAATGACTGTACTGTAAACAAATTGGACCTTAATGTTTCAAAATGCTACATGAGTACCTATACCCGAAAACCCACAAAAATATTTCTTGCTTCGCTAACTAGAGTAGACTCGATTAAAAATTTAGCAGTAACTTTTGATAGTAAAGTATGTTTGATCAGCATATTTTAGTTAGTTAGTTTTGTGTTAAGAATAGCATCGGAATTTAAAAGTATCAAAACTTTTAAAATACTTTTTTGTGCTTACGTACGTAGCCATCTGGAATACGCCTCTCAGGTGTGGAATCCTTCTTATGATGTGTATTCTGCACGAATAGAAGGCGTCCAAAAGAGATTTCTACGTTGCTTGCAATATCAAGCCGGTTTATTTCTGCCAGACTATGAGACTAAGCGTCGTATTCTAGAACTCTACTCAATGCTCAAGTCAGGATTTAAGTATGGTTTAAAGCACTCGAAATCATACTCAAGTCCCTGCCATTAGGGTCGTATTTTCAGTGCTTGTGTTTCCAGTGCAATCCTGACTTGAGCATTGAGTAGAGTTCTAGAATACTACCCTAATAGTCGCAAATTTCACTTTCTGCCATCATACAAACGGAGAGAAATGACTGATTTAACTTACCTAACTTGCATAGCAAACGGCACTGTCGATTGCCCTGAACTCCTTGAGCAAATAAGATTACGCACAAGCAATGCACTGAGAAATCCTATCACACTTTACGTTCTTTATTTATTATGTTTTTTTTTCTATAAGTAGGCAACTTACTTTGTAGTTTATTTCTATCACTTTAAATAATTATCTCTAGATTTTTTAATTAGCCCTCAGCATAAATGCGCTGGCCTGTCAGGCGTGTATTATACTTTATTCTATTCTTGTTACCTAGCTGTGAGTTTTCCAAATATAATGAAAATAAAAAAAAATAAACAAATAAAATAAAACTGTAGTAGCATCTGAGCTACGCGCCTACCCATAACATTTGCAATGGCAATGTCACTACGCCCATCACCCCGGAGCATATATTCGGCAAGTCCTGTACCTATGTTTTCAATGGCCACATTATTGTTTAATGACAGAAATAAGTATAGCAGTAGAGCTCCTTGTGAAAGAGTTCGTCCAGGGAAGTACTATCATCTTACCTATTTCTGCCGCCAAGCAGTATAGTGAGCGTTACTGCGTTCCGGTTTTGAAGGGAAATGGTGCTGGTGAAATTACAGACACATGGGACTTGTCAACTTTACGGCTATCGTCACATTTTTATCGTGACTTTTTTTATATCCTCAGACGACTGTCGTTCTAATTCTTCCCATTATCACGACAGTCTCCGATTGGGGCGATGCCAATCTTGTCAAATTTAATTCTACCAAAACGCTGGCGTGCCTTTTCCCCTCTAAACAGAGTCCCTTTCACCTGACTTCGAGTTTCCGTGATATATCCATACCGATAGTCGACCGTCTCCACCTACTTGGAATGGACCTGTCGTCCAATCTGAACTTTGGCAGATACATTGAATCCATGGCCAAAAATACCAGCTTACTTATTTCTGCCACCAAGCAGTAATGTCTGCATTACTGTGTTTCGGTTTGAAGGGTAAGCATGCTGGTGAAATTACAGGCACATGGGACTTATCAACTTATGTCTCTTGGTGGTGGGTGCAATGGCGATCTTTGCGATTTAAAGCTCTAAGTGGCACTGCAACTGTAATGGATAAGTGTCTAGCTTATCAGGCGCACGAGTTGTTCGTCCTATCATATAATATTATAAAAAAAATCTATAACTTGGACCTTTTCAATAGACATAACTTAGGTGTGCATGCTACATCCTCGACCTCATCGTCACTTTCCATCAGATGTGAGATGGAGGTCAAATGCGCACTTATTTTTTATAAAAAAAGTCTTGAACTGATATTCAATTTTTTTTTTATTCAAATGTAAGTGTGCATTTGAACTCCATCTCACCTGATGGAAAGTGACGATGAGGTCGACGATGGAGCATGCACACGTAAATATTGCCTATTTACTCTCGCCTTGAAAAGGTCCAAGTTATAACGTTCTTTCTTAATAGTTCCCACTATTAGTAGTTTTTAGATAAATTATTTTACAGATTTCTGCTAAATCTGAGCACATTTCAACGTCCTCTTCTTCATCATCAAGTGCAGAATCGGAGTTAGGAAGTTCCGAAGAAAGCTTCAATTCATCAAGTGAAGAATCAGATGCAGAAGATTCTGAAGAAGATTTTAATTCGTCGTCTCACGAGAATAGTGAAGAGAATACATCACCGGAAGTATCCAACGAAGATCAACATGGTGATACACATGGTGATACACATGGTCAGCCTCAAGGTGAAAATAATGAAAGTCAAGGACATATTGAAGCAAACTCAGACGACACTAAAGAAAAACAAGAAAATACAGAGCATAAAGACAACAATACTGAATCTCCAGAAAAAATAAATGAGCAAAATCATGGAGATGATAATAGTCAACAACAAAAAGAAGACCAGAAAGAGCAAATAGAAGTTGTTACCGAATCTCATAATAATAGTACTAATGAACCAGAAACAGTGACACCGGTGAACCAAAATGTAACAGACGGAGTAGAAAATGAAGAAGACGAGAATATTGAAATTGATGTAAGATTTAAGGATAACAGCGACACTAAAGACGAAAAGGTATAAATTGTAGTTTAATTATGTAGTACGTATACTTATTACCTACATTATGATTACTAAATTATTTTGTTTAAACGTCATATTTTTTTAATAATTAGTACGGCGACTGCCATAGATTATTAATATGCTTAATTACGTTCATATTTGCTAAATGTAACATTAACATGACATAATTAACATAGATTTTGACAATTTGTGTCAGAATGAGTCATTTTCAATAATAATAATACAATGTTTGTTTTATACTTTTAGACAAAAAATAATAATCCAATTCCGGCTGCAGAAGAAAAGGTAAGTTGTTAAGTTTCTACACTACAAGTAATAACCGGTTTAACTAAAGCATTTGGCAAAGTTACTAACGTTTATTTTATTATTTCTCATGATTATTTATTACTTTTAAATATTTAAAAGGAAACGAAAAGTTACTTAAAGGAATATAAAATCAACTGTATTTCTTAACTGTCTCATAGGAAAAAAAATGTTTTAGATAAAAGATATCAAAGTGTTGCCTCAGGGACTATAGTTAAACCCACTTTTGTTAGAAGTTTATAATGAGAGCTACTAGGTCCGGTAAAGTTGATAAAACTCCACTTAAATGATATTCTTTTAATTGTTTTTAGAAAATAGCTGCACGGAACCGCCTCTTCGACAATGCGAAAGACAAATATCAAAAAAGAAATAAAAGAGAAAATAGTCCACAGGTAAATATTAGGTATCATTCGTTATAACACACATCCTTTTCAACTAATTTTAAGGTGTAAGAAGAAGGTTAAACATATTTCCACTAAAGGCCGTTCTTATGCTTATAACAATAAACAAGGAATCGAAGCTGCAAACTCCGCGTTTTGTTTGTCAAGGTAATCATACTGTCCATAATAGCACAGTTGCAGGTTGCTAAGATATCAGTTAATCTAGACAAAATGAATACGACATTTTTGTATTATTTTATTCACGTATTGCATAAATAACACTTTTTTTAAAAAAAAGCAATTATTTGAAGAATTTAAGGGTACGTGTGATGGTGAAAATACAGGCACATGAGACTTGTCAACTTATATATCAGGGTGACAGACGCAGTAGCAATGTCCCCCACATTTGCGATTTAAGGCTCTGAGTTGCACTGCAACTGCTATGGACAGGCGCGTCGCTTAGCATCAGGCGCACGACTTGTTTGATAAGCTCATTGTAAATTTCAAATTATATTTCGCACATAAATTCCAAGAAACTCACGGCTGCAAGCCGGGGATTCGAAGCTACTGCCCTCTGCTCGAGATGTGATAGGTCAAACAATTTGGGTACCATAACATTTTTTATTGTTGTTGTAATGAAATTTTATTATCCTCCATTAATATGAATTACCTATTAAACTAAAAATATTATGCATTGATATATTCCCTGCGCACAGCTCCCTCCTTTATCGCCTTGTATACTAATATCCACTGTATTGTGAATTTCAGCCTATACCAGAAGGTCCGAAATTACCTGAATTACATTACGAAAACCTGCCAGGATTTATGAGATTACTTCTTTCTACTGAAAACCCGGTAAGTCAATGCTAATAATGTGAATGTTTTTTTTTTTAAATACCTATGTATTCTAAGGCTCAATTTCCGGCGGAACGAAGTGGAATGGAAGTCAATGCTCGAACATTCCAGCGATCGCGCCTTAAGTATGCATGCGCGAGAATTCCGCACAAGACTGTGCGAGACTGTCATATTTTGTGAATTATCCAGGCAAACCCTGGAGGTAGACATTGTAGTGTAGTTGTGTGTGGATAGAGCTCTGTGTGTAATAGTAATGAAAAAATCTATATAACGATTCATGTGTGTGGTAAATATCTAATAATCGGCTTGAAATCTTAGAACTAGAATGATAATGTGTTAAGTTCTTCTTCTTTTTATGAACATAGGAGGCTGTAGCAGAATATCAGCGGCGTTGTGACACACTCAGCCGTTTGTGTGTTTTGCGACAGACCTTTTTATCTCACACCACATTTCGTACCTTTGCCATAGTAAATCCACATGTGATCACGTCAAAAGTTCTTTTATCTCATAACATAACACGAATTAAATGAGACAATTTATGCATATGAGAAATGTTGAAATTTTGCAGATGTGGCCTTGTTATACCATGGGTGTCATTTAAAGAATATGTTGGCATAGGGCTGAGAATACCCAGGCAGTTCATAATGACAAAATAGCTAGACTGGTTTACGTCCGCTACTTTCACAGTTTAATGACATACGGCATTTTGTTTTGGGGTAATGCACTGATATTAATAGAATCTTTGTGCTGCAGAAACGTACAGTTATGGCAATTTACATACTGGCCCCAGAGCGTCTTTGAGAGATAAATTTGAAGATTTCTTACACTAACGTCACAGTGCATTTATGAAAATATTTATGTTAAGAAAAATATATTTTTTTTAATGAAAAATAGTGACAGTCTATAAATACGAGGAATAATAAATAAGCTAGCTATCCTTGTTAGTCGTCTTCATAGATTCTTAAATTAAGGGCAATGTATACGCTTCTATAATAAGATTCCTATTGATATTCAAAATTTGCCATTTACAAGGTTTAAAACTATTGTGAAACAAAAAACTTTATAATAAAGATTATTATACAACTTCTGCATACTTGGATGACAAAATTTCGTGGCCCGTTTAACTCTTGCAGGTGTTCTCGATCTAAGATGTATAAATTAAATATTGTAATGATAAATGTATTCAAATGTATATTTACAAAGAGCAACCTCTAGAGTTTCTTGCTCATTCTTCTCATGGGGAATCTGCCTTGCAATTGAGCAATAGAGTTTAATCAGTATGGCGATTTTATGTGTAATTTGCTTACTTATGAAATACGATATTCGTCAAAATTGCCTCATACCACACAAATATCACTAACACTGTTCCCATCCGACCAATTCGCTGTGAGCGAACCGTTTATTCGTAAGTAATAAATTTAACATCAAAAAAATTAAACAATGATGTGACGTGTCCCCAGGTCGAAGTATCTGAAGAACTGTCCAAATACGAAGACTTGGATGAAACCAACGAAGGAGAAAATGACAAAGACGCTGAGTATTTCAAAGAACTTTTAGCTGATAAAATTCATGAATTATTGGCGAGTGCAAATACTGATGAGGAAATGGCAGTTTCTAAGACATTCGGTATGAATCTGACTGAGAATGGGGGCTATGTGTGGAATGTAAGTATGATTTTTTTAAACATGCATAATGATGATTTTTTAAACATGAATAATAATGCTTGAAAATTACGCATGAAACAGCGTTTTTTTTTGTGTAGACATACATAAATGGACTTGCTGCGATCGCCATAACACCAGCTCAGCTACTAGGTTATTAGTTGTTATTTCTGTTGAGTACGTGACGCTAGTGGAGACGAATGGAAACTAAAGAGTCACCTGAATTGTACCACTGTACAAAATTCGTTTTCTCCATTATCCTGTCAAGAATACTTAATTTTTTGTTATTGCACAATAATTTCGTACTAAATATACACAAACTTATAGTTTTAATTAATTTACAGAATCTATGGAGTGAACCTGGATATTCTTTCGACGTTGGCAGACCATCCAAAGATACAGAGAAGCCTACAGACTCTTACAGTGAAACCACATTTAAACCTTATGAAAATATTGACTCTAATAACAAAAATCCAAATGAAAATAAACCACTAATTATTGATTATGTTTTAAACGAAAATTTAGACGATATTTATGTAAATGTGCACAATAATAACCCGAGAGTTATGATAATGGCACATGAAGAAGATAAAGCATCTGTTATTCATGATAAAAACGAAAATACAGGCAAATCTTACCAACACAAAGAAAACCCAAAAGATACACGGAAGAAAACTAAACACGGACATAAAGATAAGATAAACAGTGATCCGAAGGAAATTGGAGACGGCAATAAGGGACAAGTATCAGCAAACGTATGGGAAGATTTGCTAAAAAATGTAAGTAGATTAAATATCCATTCTATATCTGTGGTGTTTAAATTTATTTGATTTTTGTTTAATTCTATTAAAGCTTGATATCTCGAACGGAAGACAACAGAATTGGCATGCGTGAACAGTTGAAACGGTGTTAGCTAACGCTGTAAAACAACAATAATTGTCTAGTTTAAAGAACGCCAGTCTCTCCCGTCTTGGCACTCCGCTATTCTTATACTGAGTAATACTGAGGACTCGGTGTCCAGTGACTTTAGTTTACTAAATCATTGCTTGCTTCAATGGAGGAGGAAAACATCGTGATGAAATGGAAGATGTTGGAGAAAGTTCACACAACTCTCCGCACATAAGAATAAGAATATGTTTATACATAACATAATGTAACATGTGTGAATTCCCTACTATTGCTACAACTATGGCTTTAACACTATCTGGTATTCCCCATAGTTGTGAGCATCTTGCGTACGTAGCAAGAAATGGAACACTAACGAAAACGTAAATTAAATGTTAAGAGAGCGAAACGGCAGACCACATCGCCAGTTTCATTGACATATGAAATGTAATTAGATTATGAAATTATTTGCAGAAAGAGTTCTGGAAATGGCTGGAACAATGGACTTCATTGTACATAGAACAGTTAATGAAGGTAAGGCAATAATTCATCGTGTGGTTAACCTTGCACGTGCAAAAAGGCCAATATCAGTGAGATAGTTTTAATTCTGAAAACCTTTCTCTTTTTTCCAGCACATCAAAGTAATGATTCATGATGAAGTACTACGACAGATACACAATTATTCAGATGATATGTTCAGGAAAGAAGAAGATGAGGAAGATATCCCCATCGATAAAAGAAAAGACAAAGTAAAAGATAAAGATTCAAGGGATAAAAAGATAAATAAGGATATCGATATTAAAATACAACCTAATAAAGACAGTGATGAATCAAGATCAGACAATTCGATTGACAAAAATGACGCTAAAACTATTGAGAGTAAACACAATAAACATCTTCCTACAATAAAACCTGACGCTGACAGGACGGAAAATATACCTGACGACGTGAAACTGGAAAACGTATATGGAAATTCGGTTGGAAACGAACAAGTGACCAACATTTTCGTGTTTTATCCTAAAGAAAATTTTAGTTCTATTATATCAGAATTAAAACCTGAGGTGAAAATCAATCAAAACAAGTCGCTTGAATCTGAGAACAATTTGGAATTGGCAGCTAAAAAAGATATCGTACAAGATCGTAATATTTTGGAAAAGAATTTTACAAACGACAGCTCGAAAGAAAAAGATATACCTCCCAAAAAAGATCCAAGCAGTGAAACTACTGTCACTATCAATAATGAAGAAAAGAACCAATCATTTACGAAAGAGGAACATAATGACGTGAACATCTTAGAAAATACTCAAAAACTCTCTTCGAAAGAAAAAGACATCAACGAGGAAAACAAATCAAATTATGAAGCAGTCGAAATTGAAATTAAACCTCATTCAGATCAGGAAGTCCAAGAATCTACTACCAATAAACAGAACGACGAAGAATCTAATATAGAAAACCAATCCAATCCTAGCGACACTGAAAAAGACTCGAAAGAACCCCACGAAGCATCGTTAGATGCAAAAGAAGTAAAAGAAAATATTGCAAAGGAAAATGAAAGTAACGAGGAGCAGCCTAAAAAAGATTTGGAAAAATTAGATATAGAAGAAAGTAATAAAGATATAGAATCAAAATCGACTGAACAATTAAATTTAGAAAGCAAGGTTGTAACAGAAAATGATAAAAATTATGAAAACATAGCAGACTCCATAAAGACCGACGAAGGTAAAGAAGAGCAAGATAAAGACAGTGAATCCGGGAACAGTAAACAAAAAGATGAATCACAACAGACTAGCACAAATCTTGAAAACGACCTAGGTCAAAGAAATGTAGACGATACGGCGAAAGAATAAAAATACCATTTAAAGATAAAAGATAAATATAAATTTATTACAATATAAATTAATCTAATATAAGTAAAACAAATGTAAATAAATTATAGTATTAAAATTTTGATTACAATGCATTGTTTTTTATAAGAATTCTCATACCCAGACAAGTTACTTTATTACTGTATTGATCGATACGTAATTTTTCAATAAAAAATTTATAGATATATCTTTAGAATCCAAATCTAGACTAGATGCTCCATGTATTTTTAGTAACAGTAGACTGTGAAAGAATTCATCCAGGGAAGTACCGCCACGTTATCTATTTCTTCCCCTCAGATCTTTGCGTTTTAAAGCCTTTAAAGCCTAAAGTTATGGATAGGTGTAATTAATTATTTCATCTAAGCTCGTAAACAGTGTCATAACATACAGGCAAAGTCCATCGTAATGTCCAAAATCATGCACACAAGCTTTCTCACTACGCCCTATGGATTTATTACGTCAAGATGAAGAAGTCAATCAAAGGCAAACTAGAGCAAAAATTATGAATCTCTTATACCAACCTCGTTGCCATAAAGTAATTTATAAGAATACTGCTTCAACATGTGTATAATTATTTACAATAAATTACCAAACGAAATTAAATTGTTACAAGGACCTTAGAATAATAACGCATAGAATGATAGTTTCATATCAAACGAACTGTCACAAGTGAGGCAAAAATCAAATTCATGTAGGCTAGTTTTCGGTTTACAAATAAAGTTTTAGTGAATATTTATATAAAAATACAAGTTGAAACGCGTTACTTCCTTGTGGAATATGATGTTAGTATCTATTTTATGCTCGTCTGACGTATTTTTACACTCATTTACCACACATTTCGTCATTTTTAGCTAAAATTCTAGAGCTGTTCGCGGTGCAAGTTGACCTTGAGCACTGAAGGCCCGCCCGCTCGTGTACGCCCATTGGGCGCGCTTCAATTTGCCTCACTTAGCGTGTGCGGACCAGTGTTGGGCGTTAATCAATTAAATTTCAATCAATAATTCAATCAGATTAAAAAATCAATTCAATTGAAATCAATCGCAATTAAATCAATTGCGACGCGTCGATTTTTTAATCTTATGCGATTTCAATTGAATTGATTTTAATTGCAATTAAATTTGCAATTAAAATCAATTCTGGCCGGTTGGGGGCCCCGGTTGGAGGCCCGGTTGGGGCCCCCGGTTAAGGCCCCGGTTAGGGGCCCGGTTGGGGACCCCGGTTGGGGACCCGGTTGGGGGGGCCCAGTTGGGGGGCCCGGTTGGGGGCTGCGTTGGGGGCGCCCGGTTGGGACCCCCGGTTGGGGGTCCGGCTGGGCCCCAGTTGGGTGCCCCGGTTTGGGGGCACCGGTTTGGGGGCCCCCCGCTGGGGGCCGGGGCCTCCTACCGGGGCTCCCAACCTGGGCCCCAACCGGGCCCCACAACCGGGCCCCCAACCGGGGATCCCAACCGGGGCCCCCAAGCGGGGTTCCCAACCGGGGCCCCCAACCGGGACCCCCAACCGGGCCCCCTAACCTGCCCCCAGCTGGCCCCCAACAGGCCCCCACAACCAACGCCCTAACTCACCCCCATATGCCCTATAAATTTATCATAATTGTCAGTTTTAATTGTTAATTGTTAATCAAAAACATTGAAAAGATTGAAAATTGATTAATTGTTAATTGTAGATATTTGCGATTAACGATTGATCAATTGTCAATCTTTAATTGCCAGAACAATTAAATTTTGCCCAACACTGGTGCGGACTAGGTTTCTATGCGTTATTATTCTAAGACAAGGACATACTTTTAAATTAAAATTGACAAAATGGCTTTTGACACATTGCTTCTATAGTAATAAAGAATACTTAGAATTTACAAATTCACTACATCAATTAGAAACTATAGAGACTAAACATTGAATCCCATTAATATTTGCACATCTGCTTGCAGGTTGAATACAATGTACCTAATTTTACTTAAGACCTTTGTAATTACTGTATTCTGGCAAATAAACGTATTCTATTCTATTCTATTTAAAAACTTTTTATGCTCGAAAAATCTGAACGCATATTTCGCACAAACTAAATACTGAAGTATAAAAAAAACTAAACATTTGCAATTTAACAACATTTTACTAAATTTATTTTATCTACACACATGTCATAAATTCTATAAAATGTGTTCAAAAACCGCAAATTACGACCAGCATAAAGACAAATTGTTTTGTTTGAACAAATTTCTTATCTGTGAAAATGTTATTGCTTCCTAATAATAACGAATTCGATGTTATTATTACATTCAAATTTCGAACATCTCTGAAAAACAAAACAATTTGATTGGACCTCAATTCTAATATCAGTCGAGATGAAGTTTTATTCGAAATGAAATGTCAATAGCAAACAATTTTGACAATTTCACACGTTACTTGATATCGAACGATATGATAGTTGGGGCCGATTCTAGTTTGTCTAAGAATTAAAAATAAAAACTTCGGTTGTGTGCTTAGAGGATGGAAAAAAATAAAAGAAAGGAGCTGCCCTAAGTACAGAATCAACGTGCATATTACCAAAATTTGAAAGTTACAAACGGCGGATTTCTTTAGTGTTGTACCATAATCTATCGATAAGTCATTATCGACATGCAAATGTATGGCTTGAATTTTTGTTTCTTTAGTTTACTGTAACCAAAGTATGCCTAAACAAACACAAGTCTGATAATTTAATCTCGAGTGGTATATTATTATAAATGTCAACACACATTTTTAAACTTCAAAAAAAATTATTTACCAATAAACCTAATGATGGAATAGCATTGTCATGTAATCTAGTTACATTTAAAGTTCTGTTCAAATTTGACTCTTCAAAATGAAGCGAACAAATGAAGATGGTCTTTGATCCAACGTTTATATTCGGCAGTCCTATGATTTCCAACCATTCTTTCTTCCTTTTTTCATTTGTAGGAAAACTTGAAATAATAATAATAAAACAATAAAAACCTCATAGTGAATTGTTTTAATAACAGAATATCGATAATATGTATGCTTACAAGATCAACACTATCTCAAAATAATCGTTAACAACAATCATCAAAATATACAAACAAACAGGCAATCTAAAGTAACAAAAGCAAAATTTGGCAAGATTTATAAATAAACTACTTAAATAAGTCTAATTACATAAAATATTCGGGCTATTGTGTGATTTATAGACAAAAAAATAACACATGCCTGTGCAATGTAACATTCGATTGATTTGCAGTTTTTCTATAGCCGCATCCTTTAATGCTGCAGCGTCGCATTTTTATTAATACCTAATTATTCTCACTGTCAATATTTTTGTCCAATTTAATTATAATACATGTGAATAATTCAATAATACATTTCGAAAAACATTTGTTTTGACATTTGATGTACTTCCCTTTGACAACGGTATCATGTACCTCATGTACTTGAAATGGCCACGGTTGGCATTTAAAATGACGTTACGAATTTTCGATTCCCGTGTTTGACACAGACTAATGTAATGCTATCTCTTTTGGCTTAAGACGGCACGTAATAGTTAAACAAAGACAATAATATGCTTATGTTTTCGACGTCGAAATGCATCATATACATATAACGTCTGATTTATATATGTCAACGTAACATGTCCTTTAGTTTCCATAGTCTAAGGTTGTGTGACATCCGCTTAGACTATGGAATTTTCCATCCTCTAAGGACATGCATGAGAAAAGTTTTTATTTGCCGCCATTTCGCCAGGCGTAACATGCCGTTCCTGAACACATCACAGAGAGCTTATGTGTGTAGATAAAGCAGTATATGTAACTGTACATAATTAGGCATTAAAACACTCGTGAGATGTTTTAATGCCTAATTATGATCCTCACTCGTATTTTAATGCCTTTCATTATTTAACACTCACTTATACTACTATTGTGAATTCAATTTAAGCAGTACTTTTAGAATTTGGTAATTTTTATTTTATATCTAACACATTATGGCTGCATGCGTCTGTGCCACTTTTAGTTTGAGTTGTATTATCTGTGGAAGAATTGTAAGCTATCTGTTTAAAAAAAAAAAAACAAAAACACGCCATTTGCATTATCCGTAAATGTTGTGTTGTGAAGCGATATTTATTTATACAAGAAATAATCCTTTAGGACTGTTGGACCCACTGTTTGGTTCCACAAGTGGGTCCAGTAGGATTTTCAAATACTCGTGGTTCCACTTAGATGGTGGAACCAACGGTCTTAGTTTTAACAAGTAAATTTTTGGCCTCGTGGCCCCACTGACATTTTTTAGAAATAATAATATACAATAATAAGGCATACACTCATAGCCCCGCACTAGGGAAACCCTGTATCGCGGGTGCCATGGACACACAAATAGACAACCACAAATTACATCCAAACTCACGAGGGAAATAAGTTGTAGAAGTAAACAAATATTTCTCCCAGACAGGGAATCGAACCCGGGGACCTCTGCGTTGTAGTCCAGCATGGTAACCGTTCGGCCACCGAGGCAGTTAAGTTAATAAATTATCATTGTATCCATTTCCTCGCAAATGTGTAGAAAAACATTGTATGTAGCTGGGGCGGTAAAAATTACAAACCTCTCGAGTCATTAGAGCCCTCAGACTTTGACGTCGGCTTCTAACAAACTATCTTTACCAATTTTCTTATGTCCCGCTTTAAAAGTAAGTGGTTACTCAAGGACACTCAGTTGGCAATGGACAGAGCCATGCTCGGTATTTCCCTACATGATATAATCAGAAATGAGGAAATGCGTAGGAGAACTAAGGTAACCGACATAGCTCGAAGAATTGCTCAGCTGAAGTGGCAGTGGGCGGGACACATAGCAGAATCGATTGCCGTTGGGGCGGAAAGGTTCTTCAATGACGACCGCGCACCGGACGACGCTCAGTGGGTAGGCCCCCCACCAGGTGGACCGACGACTGGTGGAGGTCGCGGGAAGCCGATGGATGCGGGCAGCGCAGGACCGATCGTC